GTCGGCTTCGTAGACAAGTGCGTAGTATTCGCAATTCGACGTCCAATACTCGGTGACTGTCCTCTGGTAGTCCGCATACGTCGTGTAGTCGTCTTCGTTTGATGAAGTTCGGAACGACTTGATGTTTTAGACAGCGGCGGAGAAAGTGTGTTGACTGTCGAGCTAAGACGATCTTTTGTCTCAGTGACAGCGCTTCTTTTACAAGTCGGAAGTATCTTGCTGGCACATCTTGCAGTAACTGCCACGACCTCATAGGAAGCAGTGAGTGTGCAAAGCTGTGTTCAAAGTGATTGAAATCTTGGTTTAGAGTTTCTTTGTTTGGTTATAGAGGCGTCTGGCCGAGTGGATTGCTATCAACTTGACCTTGGCTCTGAGGAAGGCGAAATCCGCCGAAACGTCAGGTTAATCGTGAACTAAGAATAATAACACCTCGCGTTTGCTCAACAAAAATGCGAAGAAAATTATGGTGAGTTATTTCCAAAACTTGGACCCCATGGACTCCAAATGATCTCTGGAACACAGATCGCAATGAGCCCAGTTAAGCTGAGGCTATAGAAGAAATCACAATGCCTAACTTATTATCCCCCAAATTTCTCGCATACGAAGCGAGCGCTCGTCAAGAATGCAGGCCTGCCCTAGAACGGCCACCTACACGTTGTGCAGACGTGCTCGTAAACAAAGTTAATCGGCCGTACTCGCAGCTGCATTTGTTTTACAAATCACGGTGCGAGAACCGCAAGCGCCACACCATGCTCGAATAAAACCACCACCATAGACGACGATTGCAAAAGAAAGAAACGAATGGCAAATGTGCTAGGGTCCGCGCAACTCATCAGGACAGGCCATCCAAGTATTCAAGTAAGTAACATGAATGCGTCGTTTTCTTGTTCAGCAATCGTAATTTTTAAACAGCATACAAATGTATACAAACTGTATACATACAAACTTCCATAGAGAAACACAATTCAATGCAACACTGGCTGACGTTTCGGCAGTATCGCCTTCTTTAGAGCCTGGAAGGGTATGCTGATATACAATCTACTAGGCCAAAGGTTTCAGTAACACTTACAAAAAGACGAGAAACTCTTTGGTAATTACATGATCAACAACTTCTCGAAACAAAAGCTTTTTTGAAGTTAAAGTCGATATTCTCACACAGGAGACTAAATTACCAACGCGCAAACTTCTTCAGCCTTTTTGGATAAATGCCAAAAACCCTACAATGAATAGCAGGGATGAATTCCCAGAGGTCACACGCGACCTAACCCCGTATGTTCGCGTCAATTTCTGATGTGGGATGGTGCAGTCATCAACCATATGCGACTATAATCAGCTGCTCTAAACTTCCTCATTGGAAGTCACGTAAAAAGCGGTGAGTTTTTCGAGAAGCTGTTGATCATGTAATTACCAAAGAGTTTTTCGTCTTTTTGTAAGTGTTATTGAAGCGTTTGGCCTAGTAGACTGTACATCAATATACCCTGAAGAAGGCGAGCGAAACGCCTTTTACCACTGTTTTACTCCCATTATTTTATAAAAAATTATACTGGCTTAGTAGATTGTATATCAGTATACCCTTCCAGACTCTGAAGAAGGCGATACTGCCGAAACGTCAGCCAGTGTTGTATTGAATTGTGTTTCTCTATGGAAGTAAATGTATGCTGTTTAAAAACCTCGCGATTGCTGAACAAGAAAACGGCGCATTCATATTGCACTGCCGAGGTTAATAGGAAGTCGATCCTGGGAACTAAATAAGTAACTTTTTATCTACTGCCTGTTATTTTTTTTGTCGGCAGGGTATTATGTGAAACACAACCACAATAATGCTGAGTCATTTCACGTAGGCAGACAACAAGTTAAACATTGTAGTTCCGAGTACAGCTCCAGCTTAACTGGATTTAACGCCGACTTATGCTTCTGAGATCATTTCCGTTGTTGGGTGAATGTTGGTGGCACCTTTAGGATAGAAACTAGCTGACAGAAAAGCAAAGCAAGGACTTCAAAGGTGCAGTGGGTGACACGTTGGTAGCCGGAAAGGGTACTCGCGGCTCCAAATCTGGCCTGGGGTCCAAGTTCTGGAAATAACATAATTGTGCTTGTTATCTACACCATATATGATCCTGCCAATCAGCGAAAAGCTCGACTGAGTAGCAATAGGGTCCTAGCCTATCACCACTCACGTTAAAGGAATCCAGTCTATTTCTCAGAATACTTCGAAAAAATCTTGTTGCAACAAGAAGAGCATTCTTCTAATCTAAAAAGTCAGCATTTTTAGACGATGACGGCCTAGAAACGTAGGATCGTGAATTTTTTGAATTTAAGAAAAAAGAAAATTCTCTTCTCCAATCAGAATTTCAGAATTCTCCAAACAAGAAACACCTTTGAAATGCCATTACAGTCGGCCAGGTTAAGTGTCAAGTCAATTATATTAAACATCTATCTTCACTAATCAATAAAGCTTGCTGTTCCTGTATCGTTGTGATGGCAACAACCTTTGATCTAACAGTATTCACTACCTTGGAAGTACCACAACGGAAATTTTTTTTTGTATGCGACCTGTTTTTGCATCTGCTGCGGCGGTCTTAGCACTTCTTCCATTTGATTCCGCTTCTCGCATCCATCGTCCACGGCGAGTTTTTTGCGTATGGATTCAGCAGATGCTTGAGTATTATCGTCTTTTTTATAACTACCGTTGAATGTTGCTCGAGTCGATTTTCCTAGAGACCTTGAACAGCCAAGCTAGAACGTTTCCACTTAAACTCGATGGAATGAGCTTGTCTCAAATTTAAACTGTGCAAATTTTCCAACGCTGTATGAATGTGGGCTTGGTGAGCTGGGAAATGAGTGAACCAGCATCGTGCTCGTAATGAACGACATTAGTACCATTGCGCTACCTACTCTAAAAGATTTTTGTAAATGAGAAGTTCTCCACAATTTTTTGTTGCTTTTCTACCTTTTATGATAGATGCCATCAAGCGGTTTACTGCCTCATCGTGGCTAGTAGGTGCTCTTAGGTTTCGAGCTGCGATGTACAACAGCGTATTCATTCTCCCGGAAAAGCATCACAAGCTGAGAAAGAGTCCGGCGTTTCTATCCGGAACCCCAGCTAAGAGTAAATCAGTACCTAAAGCCTAGTCTAACCTCGGAACTGGAGGAAACCGTAGTGGCTAAACCAGCAAAACCAGTGAAAACCGACCTTCCAATTATCCAATCAAGTAAGTATAATTCTATGCATACAATAATGGTTTAACTATTCACCGTGCCAAAAACGTACATTTACCAAGAATTGAAGAAAAACCTAAAAGTTTAATTGGAAAAAGTTGGAGGTATTTACTATGATTCGTTTGTATTGTTTATGATATGGCGAATGTAGGTTTAATGTTCGACCACTGTTGAACAAACATGCCGGCTTCTCGTACGAACCGCCCCGAAGCCAATGCGTGCATCAGCCGACTAGCGCCTTCTCCATCATTACTGCTCTTATACCTGAGCATAGCAAAACGTATTCTATTTCTTAACTGAAAAGATAATCTTTTAAAGAAGTGGTAGTAGTCCTAATACATAATCTCGTGCCTTTCTGGTGCAATACGATCAATTTTAGGTTTCCTGACAAAGCTATACTAAGAGTTTTCTCTAAAGGTCTTCCGACTCCTTTATATGGTAACACTTTTCTACATTCATAATGAAAAATTCATGGAATTAAAGTAGCATAACTTATCAAAGACTTTCACGCTAATTCATCGTGAGCGCACCATTCCTTACAGCCGCTCTTCCACTTTAATATAAATAGAACGCGAAGCAGTGTGGAGTAGTTCTGTTTCCTTTTTTCCATTTACATAGTAAGTCAACCTTTTTGTCCTTCTATATCGGTCAGGGGCGCGTGTAGCGCAGTAGTCGGAGGCGCCATGCAACGCACACGTGGAATCGATTTTTGCGCCCATGGCCCACCAAGCCTACCATCCATCCGGGATCGACAAATCGGTAGCAGACTTACCCGGGAGGATAGCAGCATTAGCTCGATACATCGGTAGACCACCGCGAGTAACTAGAAGGGCCACATGTGCATTTACTCAGCTCCAAACGAATAAAGCCGAATGCAAGGCGCATCTCTCGGGGATTGACCAACCCCTAAAGCTTTATCCTTTTTTATATCGGTTATTGTAATAAACCTTTTCAAGCGTAATAATGGTGCTTTTCATAAATGTAGACTGAAAGTCTGGGTGCAGTGGCTTACTTTGCTCTCAATCTGGAATTTTTTTTTTGTTATCACTGCTTGTTTCGTGCTAAGGTCGTAGACGACTCCAAAAATCGCGACCATATTTGCCTAGACAACGTTCGGCGATCTTGAGTGGACGAAGTTCGTAGGATGACGAGCATTCGATGTTCATCTCCTCCTTACTCATCGTACTCTTAAGGCATGTGTTTTTCTTCTGTAAGCAACAGTACGGTAATTTTTTCTTCGCCTAAGCACAAATTACAAGAATTAGTTAACGAAATGTCTTTCTAGCCTAATAATAAATGGTTCTTATTTTATATGGATGAAAAGTTCCATTTTTCGAATAATATGACACCAAATGGCTGAGTAGTTGAATAGCCTCCTGTCTTCACGTATCGCAAAGAACCGTGCGGGCTTATGGCTTATGCAGGTAACTTGTTGATTGGGTAAGCCTTTGGTTCTGTAGTTTCGAAACCTGTGCTAGGGAATAACCAACATTTCACTCTTCAAATATAAACGTGGAACTCTTTTCTCAGCTTGGAAAAATCCTTCTGGAGACGAAACTCTGCTTGTATTGCAATTCGATGCCCAGAAAAACTCCAATAATAGTAAAATGGTAAACCTTATAGCACACAAAACAGACAAACAAAAATCAGAACCGACTCCACTTGCAACCTGCAAAATGGTTTTATGATTTTTCCAAACCGACTAAAAACCCACAAAAACACATCACGGTCCTCTGAGGAAAAACTTTCATGGTTTTCTGAGACCAAAAAACCCACAGGAGATGCATCGTGCTCCTCCACGGTTCATCCACCAACTGCTTCATCCTTCATTCAATGTGGACGCGGTTTGTCAACTTCAGGGACCATTTAGACTAGTCTTAAGCCATCTCATATAGACAGTGTATTTTTGAGCACTTTTTAACAACAAAAGAAAGGCAATAGATTATTTTCAACTTTCATAACAGCAAAGCTTTGTTCAATGCTATCCTCGCCTATCTACTGAGATTTCCAGTTTTACGTGCCAGCGATCTCGGCGAAATCGTTGGTTGTGTTGTTCGTTGGGCTTGGCTCAGGCGCAGCAGTACACATGTCCACTAGCCAGTCAACAACCGGTGCTCACCACTCAGGGCATCAACCAGTTCTGCACGCAACCGGGTAAACGAGATGACTGCCCATTCAAGTAAGCTTGGACGTTCAACTACAAATGTTGAAGATCTTAGCAAGCACTCTTCCCATAAATATTCAAGAAAAAACCTTCCGAACATTCAAGTAATGTCGATTCAAAAATTAGAAAAAGGAAAAATAAACGAACAGATGAAAGGAGTGATGATTCGATGAAACATTTTTAAACATTACAGTTTGTCATAGTCGATGAAGAAACACTTGGCAAATATTGAGAACAGAAGAAAGGAATTAAAGGAATGAAGTGTCTAAGCAATTTAAATGCTACTTCGAGGGCGCCATTGCTAAAAACATATTGCCTTTGAAGAGTTCAAAATATTATATTTTTAGTGCCTTATGCCTGTCAGCTTCTAATTCGCCTAATCTCTTCATATGTTGTAGTTTTGTAGCAGCACAGGTGGGGTCGACAGTATCCCGATTTTCTGCTGGTTTATTTTATTAAAATGAAGTCACCTATTTCATTCTTAGGCACTCCCGACGTGTCCGAAAGGTGGCACACCACAGCCGTATCCCGGTGGTTACAAGCCGTGTTCGTTATTTTCATCGACCGACTGCGATGTCGGGTAAGTCCACTGGATATTCCTTTAATTTCAATGCACCATTAAAAACATACCTATACAGCTACTCTTGTGTTCGTGCTGTTAACGATCGGTCGATCCTCTTGTGCTGCTCAACGAAACCGACACAACTTCTCTGTCCGAATGGCAGGGTTCTGTTAATTGTGAGCTTGAGCTGATTTCGTTAGCTCAAAAGCCTTCTTTTTGTCTCTGTTTTTCCTTTTTCTATATCCACATATTGATACTGTTTTTTTTGCATTTACTTTGAAATTAACAATAATGATCTCAATTTGCCCGTAATTTTCAACGCTCTTTAGTACTTGACCAGATAATCTTAATGATTTACAATTTTAACTTATAATTTACTGCCTACCTTTTTTAACGGCAGGGTATACATTGTGAAATATAACTTCAATGATGCTGAGATAATTGCAAAACTCCGGACCGCAGGTGTATGCGTTGGGGAACGAACGCGCTATTGTCCTTTCCGGGGAGTAGCGCGTTCACCACCACACCACGCGGG